AAAAAAAAAAAATTATATATATATATCTAGAGAGAGAGCTGGCATGGAAAAATCTGTGGAAGCAACCTGTACTTATGCTTCTGTAGTGTGAATTCTGGTTTGCTTTAACTCGAGTACAGTGAGACACTGGTGGGTGAATTTCTGAGACATGATTCAATCTGTACTTCATCCTGTAATCTAACTTGCGTAGTACTCCAGCACAACAAGCATCACTACTTGTCCTGCCTATTCCTTATAAGTACAAACCACAAAAAGATGTGGAATACCATGCTCAGTCATCATTGCAGCTACAGAGGGACAGATAAAAAGGAAATTATGGGTGACAGAAGAGTTTAAAAATAGTACCTGCTTACTGCATGCCCCTGGGGAAGCAGCACCAATGTATCAAAGACACGATCAACAGCACATATTCAAAGAAAGAAAAAGAGTTTACACTCTAGTTCATTGGAAGCCTGCAAAAATTGAGGTGGCTCCCAAGTGCAAGATGGGGGGGAGGGGTCCTGTTACATCATTGCTGTCTGATAGCAAATACCTGTACCATTTTGTATTTGTTCTCTTTAAAAGGCCATATTATCTACAAAACTAGGCATGCTGGGAGACAGAGGTTAGGAGCCTGTCCCTGGATGGTGGCTGAAGTTTATGTGCATCGCTTCTTCTGCGTTGTCCTTTGAGGTCCCAGAGAGCAGTTGGTTGTTGGTTGCTAGCTACTGGTGCTCCTGTTGTAATTTAACCATGTGTTGGAGTAGTAGTAGGAAAAACAAGACCTGTGAAAGCTGCTAGAAGAGAAATGCAGATGCACACATACAAATGGGCCAGTTTGAGGGATTTACTGGCAACACCAGAGCTCCTGCTGAGACAAACTGATTTTGATAATCTAGGTGTTTATACTTAGCTATGGCTAAGATGAGTTGTTACTGTGGAAAAATAGGGAAGCATTGGCTCGAAACTACACATTTCTTGGGAACAGAAACATCAAACCAAGCCAGTCAGTTTGCAACTGCTCCAGAGCAGAGTAGAAAAAAAATAAACCTCTAAGTCCTGCTCTATGGCAAGCTCAGTGAACTTCTTTCTCTGGTGTCTCTCTCTGTCCCTGCCCCATGCAGCTGTTTCCTTCTATGCAGTTTCCTTGATATCTTCTAGAATTTGACTCAAGTCCAGTGCACACCTTTGTCAAACCTGTAGTTCTGACTGTGATGATTTCAGGTTTGAAAATGATGGGTATTTTTCAGTGAGAGATGAAAAGTCCAGTTTTTGCAGTCTTTGAAGCAGGTGAGACTTCATTGCATTTTTATCAAGTTTGGGTGGTTCTTTATGGGAAAAGGTGCATAGCCTCTCATACCAGAGAAAAAAACTCTGTGATACTGTAGATTCTAAGCCCTAGCCAAAGCTGTAATTACACTGTGCTTTCCTTCACTGAAAAATGTATTTATTGTGTTCTTACCAGCTCCCTCCTCTAGCTACTTACACCAGTCTCCGTGTTGTCATTTGCTATCCCCCAATTCTGCTCTAACGATTGCTTGTGGGGCTACACTGCCAAATGGCATTTCTGATAGAAGTCACTCTAACAATAAAGACAACCAAATCTAGACAGTCAGAAGACAAAGGCCCCTTCATATCAGTTGACAATGCAGTCCCACAAGTGGAAAGGTGAAACAGTTAGGCCAGATTTGCCACACAGGAAAATAACCACTGCAGTACAGTGTAAGTTAGTCCCCAGCTGATCCCCCTTAAAGGCAGATACCTGCTTGAAGACCTGTTTGCCTTTCAGCCTTTGTTGTTTATTATTCAGATTCACATTCAGCTGCATCCAACCTTTGCCCTCCTGAGGACTTGAGCTTGCAGCAAAAAGCTAAATGAAAGACCAAGATCTCTCTGTTGATATTTCAGAATACATACAACAGTTGCCTCAACTTTCGAGGAAGGTTCCACATGGTATGATGTGACTTCGGTCCTGCAATAGCTGACACCTGTAATGCAGAAATCCTTGGACAGCTGATATGCTGCATGAATTCCTGACACCTCTGATCTTCCAGTATTTACAACAGTATTGTTGAAAAGAAGTATCTTGGAAAGGCTTTGGTGTAATAGTATCACATCTATTTTGCCAGTCCTTCTAGTCCTGAATAACTCCAAAGCAGCCCAGGCTTATGGTACCTTTCAGCGTCAGTAGAGGAATCTCAATCTTCCACAGCAATCAATCACAGTAATTCAGTATATATACATGGTCTGCACAGCATCAGTATTTTTTAGAAGGCAATAAAAGGATTCTTGTTAAAACAAAAAAAAATGTAAAACAGTGCCTTTAATTTCAGTTTTAAAACTTAATCCATTTGTTTCACAATACTTTATATTCTCATTGTAAACTTTTATTACATAACAGTAAAGTTAAAAATCAAGTAACACCAGAAAGTGACATTCACTTAGAATAGAGGGGAAGAAGTATTCCTCCAGTTTTGTTGTATCAGACAACACTTTTATATACATACACATACTGTCACTCACTGGCTAGTAGAGATTTGTGCAATTTGTTTGTAATTAATATCCCCATGAAGGTACTAATTGCACATGTAGAGCTAACAATGTCTCTGTAACAGGATTAAAGCAACAAACCACCTACATATAACCATGGCTAACACCTAGACAACCTGTTATTGTAGAAAACCATTTCTTAAAAACAAAATTAAAAATAAATCATCTTCAATGTAATTCACATTTGGTCACATTTGAAACATGGTCTATTGCAGTAGGTATCTTTCAGTAGCATGTGCTTTCTGAAGTGTCTTGCACTGGATGCCCAAGATTAAACTACCAAAAATCGGAAGGTATTTTTTGAAAAATAGACCATAAACTTTATCAAGAGAGAAAGAAAAAAAAGCCAACACATTAGCTCCTACATTGCTTATAGTCATCTCTTATGAACGTTATTTCACTCTTTCTCCCTGTAACTGCCCACAGTTTCTTTCTTAGAGGAAAAAAATTGCTGCATCTCTAAGAATACCCTGTTCACTCAAGAACCAAACACATACGTTCTAACCAGCCATATGCAATAAATGTATCTAAGTCTAAATCTTATTATTTATATTCTTCTAAAATCTCTATGTCTATTATACACAAAGTATGTAGACTCCTGAGATATATTTAAATGCCAGTAAAGTAGCTGCTTGTGAGGAAGAACTGACAGAAATATTGATAACTATAATATTTAAAATTATGTTGGACAAAAAAAGCTGAGGAGTAAAAATAGAATCATAAGTTGATGACATTATTTGTCATTATCATTGTAATACTTGCACATTAATGGACATGAAGATTACAAAAGAGTGACAAGATAAATGCCTTTTCCTGAGATGCTCACAGGGATTAATAACAGGACAAACACTGACAGTTAGGAGCAGACAAAAATATACTTGATGTCCATGTGCCTGTTTTAAAATTTTTTAGCTAGGGGTGAATTGCTGAATGATTGCTGCTCAAAACGTAACAGAAGGGGCTTTGGTATATGCAGTAAGATACATGGAAAAGATACCTCTGGAGAGGCAAAAACACCACAGAGAAAGGAAGGTGCTGCATTGTCACCTGTCACCATACAGCTGTCTTTTCAGGAATGCAGTGATGGAACATATGTAAAAATCCAGAATCATTGTCCTAGGTGCTGATATGTTTTGTTCCAAGAAGAGAGCAAGTCCCTGAGTTCCCATGATTCACCAGGAAAAAAAAAAAAAAAACAGCCGGGCTTCCACATGAGATGATGAATGAGAAAACCTGGTCACATCTGAAGGAGATGATGATGTTAGAAATCCACCTCTCCCAGTTCCCCTCTGCCTTCATTATTACTGAGAAGAATATGATTTGTTTTTAAAGAGGCTTGGTGATGAAATAAAATGTGCTGTCAGCTGAACTAATTGACACACTTCCGCACTGAATTTCCTTCACAGTGAGAAATGTTTATGTTATTCTTTGGGGAGAGGCAAGGCTAGAACAACTCTTCATGTATTTGAGGGCTAAGAATATTAATAACAAGAATGTAAATTCTAATCTTCATTCAAATACAAGAGAGGAAAGGGGCTGAAAGACATAACATAGGTTTTCCATGACCGCAAAATGTAATGCAAATAAAGTTGTAAATAAATTTAAGTGGAATGTAGCAAAACTATAAGTACCCACTCTGATGTCCCTGCAGCTTGCTTTGGAGCCTTTCCACTTTCAACACTCTATTTCAGGGCTGGATATTATGCAGGAGGCAAGAAAAGCCCTACAGAGCTGGGGCTTAGCACTGAGCTTTGCATGATGAAAGAGGCAGTACAAAATTCAAAGTCGCTTGGTTTTGGAAACTGAACTGCTTCCTTTAGCGTGCTGGCTGGAGGCAAGGAAGCTGCTGTTCTTCATGCTGTTAGTGGGAAATGTCATAATAGTAGTTACGTAACCTCAGCTCAACTGCAACGAATCCGGGTCGGTCATCAACGCTGTGGAAAGATGACAAATATCACTGCATAGGAAGGAGAATGCTTGAGACTCTACCTCAGTCACAGTTCCTTTAAAGCTGCTTACAATATTTTAATGCTACCAAAATGCTGCTACAAAATGAACACCAAGTGGCAAATGTCACTACAGAGCATCCAGTCAGTGTATTTATTGTCATGCCCGTTTCTTTGCAGTTGGTGAAGGTATGACAGGAAAGAAATGGTAAATCAGCTTCTTTTAATTTTCTACTTCATTTACTTCAGTAATGATTTGGAGAAAAGAATGTTTATACTGCAATATCTGCCTTATAATGGATACTATAGTCATATGGAGTGGGTTAGCACCAGAGAGGAGCCAACACATACACTATGTAGCTGTATTGTGCTTCTTTCCTCTGTATTTCCAAGTCTTTGTTAATTTGGGAGAACACAAAGCGACAGGCCTTACAATAATATGTTACATATTGTGATAGTTACACTGCCTGACCTGAGCCCTCTTTTTACATCTTTCCAATATTTAAGATATTTGAGTACAAACAAATAAAAACCAGCATGTGTTATGATATGCATATTAATAATAACAAAAAATCATCCCTTTAACTCTAGAACTGCTACAGCATTCGAGTAAAACAAAAAGGCAGACATAATTTTATGTCTCCACATTCTTTCTAGAGTACTATGTGTAAGAAAACTAACAAAGAAGCAAGGTACCTAATAGTGAAGTACCACAGCTCCTTAAATGGAATCCAGAGACCTTTGCTGGACAGACATTCTCCAGATGGTGAAATGGAAGATTAAGTAACATTATGAGTTTTGTGGCACTTTGAGAGCTTTATGGAGACCTTCCTACAGCTAGAAGCAATTTCAACAAAATAGTTCAAAATGAAACATCACAAAATGCTTTTAATAAATTTTTGCAATAATTAAAAAAAAATAGCAGGGGAGCTTTTTTATTTCATAATAAAATTGTATTTAATATTCCTAACATTTTAATCATTATCAATCAGAAAAAAAATGGTTCTGAATATTAGATACAATCTGAAAAGATGTTTTGCCTCTTACTAAAAGGAGGTCAGTGTGATATCCAATCTGAGTATACTCAGAAATGACAGGAGAGAAAAATAAGTCAAAACAATTATTTGTTAAGGAATGGAAAGAATGACTTGGCAATATGACTTTAAAATTTCAGCAAAGTATGGGAAATGAAAATTAAACAAATACAATCCAAAATGAAACAACAGTATCTGCTTAATTTCAAATTTTCATCTCAAAATACATCAGATTGGCCTTTTTGTGGAATTACTTGGGTTTTATTACACCTTATTTTTTTTGTATATAACCGTTCCAGCAAAAACAGCTAGGCAAAATCAGCTTCTTGTATAATACTCAACTCATATAATTTTCACTTGAAAGTGCAGCTGACTCCTTAGTTTGGAGGTGGTTTGTGAGCAATGTTGTGTGTAAACACCAGCCAAAAACAAGGCATTTTGAAATACCTTTCCCAGTCCCTCACTGACCTCTTTCCCCTTCTGGTTATTAACTAAGTAGATTAAAACATATTTCTATTAAAGAGAGAGCATCACATTGCACTCACTTGTATGTCCAACACAATTTCATTAGATCATAGACTTCTGTTGGACAGACTTCAGGACATTCCATTCGTTCTCCTCTTTCAATCATCTGTGCAACTTCACCACCTTTCATTCCCTGGAACAGAGTGACCAGAACAGTCAACCAAGATGCAAATGATTACAGCACACACACTGCTATAAAACAAATACAGGCCTGGAGTTGATTTTTAGGCTATCCTTTGACTCACCTGGTGCAACAGATCAGGTGCTATGGCCTGCTTTGGCCTGCAATAACCCTTTTTGGGTAGGAAAAGGCATTAGTTCAAATTTGCTCTGAATTTTTACAGAAAAAAAAAATGCCAGGTAGAACGACTCACCTTATATGGTTTTTGCCCATAAGAGAAAGCTTCCCACATTAAAACCCCAAAGCTCCAGACATCACTTTTGCTAGAAAATTTGTAGAAATTCATGCATTCTGGAGCATACCACTTGACTGGCCACTTTCCATGACTCTGTGCCTAAAATAAGTCATAACAGAAAGGAAAAAAAGCAGGCTAGACACAGTGATAAGTAGTAGACAACAGTGGGATTCATATCAGCCAGATGAATTTAGATCTGCATGCATTTTTACTAAGTATCATAACATTCCTGATGCGTTTGGCATTAGAAAGAATGAGTAGGAGCTTCTTCAAAAGTGTTACAGAATTGTTACTGATCTTCTATTGTCAAAATAATGCACTGAAATGAAATGTATGGTAAACCAAATCTTAGATAAATGACCTGGGTCATGTTTTTAGAGTCATTTAACTGGAAGTACCTCTTTAAAAGTAAGATTTTTCACATAGGCTGTCCACAGAGGGTAAGGAGATACACACCCCGCTACACTGAGTCTCATTATTACTTAAAGTCACTGCTCCATTTCAAAGCATAGCGACTGCTTTGTGGCAAGCTGCAGTTTGATTACATTATCCCCTAGCACTGTGTTATGACAATGAAAGTGTCAAGCTACCCCAGCACGACTCCAGATCTAGTGAAAGAACATCACTGCATTTCGAGGAGTTGGGAAGGGAGTGGGCCTTTCAGAACTATTCTTAAACTTCTGACAAGTAGCTCTGGCTAGGCTAGTGGCAATGATTTAAGATGTAACTGCCTTTTCTGGCAGCAGCTACTATTTCCCATAGGAAGGTCATCAGAAGGGAGTATGTGTTTGCTCCTCCTCTGCAGCAATTCATGGTCTGGCTTATTAGTTTTAAATAGCTGATGAAAGGGGATAGGTAGAGGAAATTTGAACTGCCACAGCAATATATCAGAAAAAAAGACGGAGACATAATTACAGCCTTTGTCAACCACAGATGTTTTTACCTTATTAAATGTGGCAGTTATTTCAGTCCCGTTAGCTGTATAGAGATCAAATGAATTTAAAACAAAGCTAAAGAAATTTTGCTTAGATCAGGTGACTATTTACCAATGGTCTTTCAAAAACATCCTGAAATTCAGTTCTGTTAGGCAATAAGGCAGTCTGCTAGCCTAAATTTTCCCTGGACATGGTGAAAAACCTAAGTGCTCAGAAGTTTGTATCTGCAACAAAGATACTTTCCTCATTTTATATAAGGAGGTACCTCATTTCCACTATAAATTTCTACCTTCTAATGACACGTTTACCAAAAGCAAATGAAAGACAATAAATAAAAAAAAAGGACGAGGTTTTTCCACCCTACATTGATCATGCATTTTGAAAATCAGTGACCTAATATCAGCCTGCAAAATAATGGATTATACATATTATTTCTGATTTTGAACTTTTAAAAACAACTGCACTTCAACTGAAAATAACTTTATTAATAACAGCTTTCATGTCTTATGCCAACTTTACCTTATAATAATTTTCATCAGCGCTAAGAGCTTTAGAAAGTCCGAAGTCACTAATTTTGGCATAATGTTGGGTGACTAATAACACGTTCCTTGCAGCCAGATCCCTATGAACAAAGTTATTCTCCTCCAGGTATTTCATCCCCATGGAAACCTGATGTACCAGCTCTGTTATATTCTTCTCTGTGACATGTCTGAAAATCATAATTGAATTTTTAAGAGGTCAGGAGATCATTTTAATGACTTTTTATGGAGTTCAAATATAAATCTTTACTATGAACTTCCCCACATCATATTAGAAACCTGATCCACCTATATTCAGATAACCTTTAATTAGAACTGGCAGCATAAGAATATCCTGAACAAGACGATGTGTGAACATATCAATAGATGATGAACTGAAAGACAAATGAAAATTCTTTCATTTATTCAAAATGCACTATTTTACCAGAAACATTTGACAGTTAGGAGACATGTACAGGATAATCATGTACCAGTGAAGAGTAACTATAATCTTTAACAAGTCAATTTAAAATTGACTTAAAGAAAAAAAGAAAGAAAAGCCCTTACAGAAAAACAAAATAAAATAAAAAAGACCTGTATCTTTTTCCCCCTTTGGGTAAATCCTATGAAATGGAATCAAGGTTTACATACCTATTTTTTTGCAAAAATTTGTTCAGTGGCCCAAGTTCGGCCATTTCCATTACTAACATCCAGGCCTCAGCTTCACATATGCCTATCATTCGGACAATGTACGGGTTATCCAGTTGCTGCATTACATTTGCTTCTCTCAGTAATTCATCCTTTACAGCTGGATCATTACTCTCATTCTTAAGGATTTTCACAGCCACTGGCTTGGCACCCCTACAAAAACAAATCCAGTTCTGGTATTAGTAGCTGAAAAATGTGTGCAAATGCAGAAAAGTCTTCATCTGACGTTTCTGTGCACATAGTACAAACTGCGACAAAAGACAGAATTGACATTCAGAGGAGGGGGAAAACCCAGATGTAACAGGAATATCTCTCTATCAAATGCTCAGAAGACAGCTAATCAAAAGAGAGAGAATGGAAATAACCCCAGAAGATTAGTCATGAAAACATCTTAAGAAGCCCAAAAAAAAAAAATGTACCAGACAAAGTTTTCTTGCTCATTCTGTCAAGAATGCTATAAAGCTTTCCTGGCAAGAAAAGCTATAGAAGCCTTTCTAAGCTTTGATGTGTTTTAGGGTTGAGACTACAAAATTGCAAGGCCCCAAGGCGGTGCTCTGAAATCCTGAGAAACCTAGCCTACCCCTGCAACCTTCAGCTCATACAACTAAGTGAAAGAGTGATGACAGACAGGCAAAGCTCAAGTGTGAAACAAGATTAGCATATACAGAAGCTGGGACAGAGCCCTTCAAATCCCATCAGATCATACTGGAAAAAAGAAAAATCCTTCCTGGCTCTGCAAACCTAGGTTAAAGAAATGCCTTCAGCTCCAGGTTGTGAAAGTGTATACACAATCAGCCCACCCACTTAACATACTGATAACATTCTATTGTAAAAATGCATGGTCAGGTGCTCCCACTTCAGCCAGTATAAACAGGGTCTGTTCCTACTGAAATTACATGATAAAAGAGGTCACAATATGTGCGGTCTTCTTTAAAAATCAACATTCCAGCTTCATGAAACAGGTCTTTATCATACTTATTTTAGGTGAAAGTCTCTTTGCTACATGTAAGCTGTCCATGGCACTGTACACTATTTCTCAAAGAGAGACAGTGCAGATGGGAAATACTGCCCATGACAGACAAAAATCATGGCTGAGAGTTGACTATTCTGCAGGCAAAGAGGTGTCTACAAATAGAGGAAAAGAAAATGACTGTATATAAAATGAGTGCATGTACAAAGAGAGAAACTAGTGAATGCTAGCCCAAATTGCTTAGATAAAATCTATCACCTTAAATGACATGCAAAGATTACTGCTGCTTTGGAAAATAAAGGCTAGAGCTATATATATTAGACTCCATGAACATAGACAGAAACACTTACTTTTTCATCTTATAGAAACCTTTCTTTACAGTACCAAAATTGCCAGAGCCAAGTTCTCCTTCTTCCAAGGTCAGCAATTTCCTGTCAAGAGTGACATTTTTTGGTTTCATTTCATCTGGATCAGCATATGGACTTTCATACACCTCAGTATCCATGGGTAAGGCCTCCCTCTGATCCCCTGCAATTCAATCAGTGAAAAACTTATACATTATGTGAGACATTTTTGCTGCCACAGCTATCCTTCTTATGCTCAGGATCATCAATGTGTTTGATTTATGAGAGTATTATAAACAAATCACATGCAGTCCAGCTACAGGCATTTTAGGAGAACACTCCCAAAAGAGAGTGACCTCCACCTGCTCACATGCTTAGCAACTACTGAGCATCTGAATAATACGAAACCAGGACGTTCCTCGACAGAACAAGGGTTAAAGGCTTGCTCTTGTCCTTAGTACTTTCCATCAGTTACCTCAGACAATTCTCCACTCAGAGTGCTGCCTTATATGTAGTTCATTCTAAGGCACCGACCTTTAATTGCATTTTACAGAAAGCCTGAGCATCAATTTGGCACTATGGATGCAAGATGACAGATTACTTTTACAAAGTATAAGAATGCAGCTTTTAGAGTCAAAGAAGTAATAATCTTTCACTTCAACATGGAAAAAGGGATTTCTGCTAAATGACAGAAATGGTGACATCTGGCAGTTTCAGCTACCAAGCTTGAGCTATGATAGTGGCTATATGAATACTAAACAAGGTATGAAATATGTGCAAGAAAAAGAAATAGGAGTGGAAGAGAAATCTCTGCCATAAAGAATGAAATTATATTAATGACATAAATTACTTTGCCTACCTTTTTCTGCTCCCATAAGACCTCTCTTCCTTTGTAGCACATAAGGATTAAAAGGTGCTTCATCAGATGGGTGGCAAATAGTTGGCTGAAACTGTAGCACACAAATAAGAGATTTTATGTTTACCAAAGAATAGGCAAGTTAAAAGTATTTTTCCCCCCTGAGGATTATGTCATAATGATTGCAAGAGACACATAGATGAGAATCAGAAAGTAAGAAAGGGATCCAACAAAGTTTATTTAATTCTGGAGGTTATTGCTTGAGTAAATATGCAGGCCAAATGAAACATACACTGCTAGAGCATAAAAAGTTACTGCAAATATTTCAGAGTATTTGATCTGAGAGAATTAAATGGAATGGGTCATGCACAAATCTTATTCTGCAGATAGTAAATTTACATGCCGTACATAAAATTTACAAACAAATCTGCCTTGTAACACAATCACCCATAAGGATTTCTTTTTAATCTGTCCTTCCTCCTTCTCCAAGTTATCTAGGTCATGGAGAAATTCCTAGCACAAATGAAAATGAAAATCACTTCCCTTTTTCTCTCCTGGATGTTATAGAGTGAGTCCAATTGGAAGAAACTGGGGTAAAAAGTAATTACTTTAATAGGCTTGTGCAACATCATTGACAAAGATAATGGACCAGATACTAAGCCCGTCTGACTGCTCTGAGGAGGGAGAATATGATGTAATTCTTACGGTACTTGAACATCTGGTTCAAATACAATCCCTCTGCCTTTACTCTTTGTCAGAGGAATACTATGGAGCACACAAACCACTCCAGCAGAAACACAGTGTGTTCTGGAACTCCTTGGCTGAAGGATGAGTCTGGTGCAATAAAGTATAGATGAGAGAAACATGATGTGCTCTCTTCTGTTCGTGAACTCTCAGGAACAGGGAATTACAGAACTTGTTTCTGCAGTTTAGTCCCTTTTCTTTCTCAGTGTCTCAATCTTACTCTACTCACAAGTGACCTCACCCTCCTAAGAATGTCTTTTAAAACCAGGAATTCAAGCATCAACATGAGTTTGCTTAGCTTGAACAGGAAATAAAGGTGTATTGTACTTGCAAAACACTGGAGAGGACTATTTGAGTATATAATTCTTGTTTTCAGTAACTGAAGCTTTTGGTGGCATATGTTCCTGCCTGAAACAGCTGTGGTTTTCAAGTAAAGAAAAAGAGAGATGAGAAATGTCCAGGAGTAAATTATTGGGTGCAACAGAAGCTTTGTCACTTGGAAACTGCATTTCATATAGAAAATGCCTGACCCAGGTGGTACAGACCTTTAAATTGTAATGAAGTCATCTGCCCAGCTGGATGAAGCAGAAAGGGTTTTACTATGTATATTTTACAGCAAACCCTGAGTAAGAGGCCAAAACTCATCAAGATTCTGGCCAATGGGATGAGCATGGTATCATCAGGGATGGTGAGGATAGTGTTTCTGACTCAGTCCTGTGGAACAGTGTTGAAAGGTCATTTACAGTCAGGGCAAGCCACAAGAGCCCTAAAACAGGTCAGGGACCAAACTGACATGTTAATCTCAAAACCAAGGAGGCAAATGAACAGTATAAAACAAGATCCTCAGCTCTATTCGTTTTTCTAGCCTGGTACACCTTGACAGGTCTGCAAGTTAAGAACTGTATTTGCAAGACCTGTATCACTTTATTTCACACACAGGCCATTCACTAACCCCAAAAAAACCCTCACTAAGATTGGAATTCAATCCTAAACCTCTCAAGCCATAGTCAGGTAGTTTCACTGTGAACCCTTTGGACAGTCTTTCCTACACTGCACCAGGACATATAGGGGAATGCTTATGTTCATTCAAAAATTATTAATAATCTTTTGCAAAGTAAAATCAAACCAGATGGAATTATACTTACTGAGACAACAGTGATTTTAGCTTGTGTATTTCATAAATCTTGTATTGCTTCAGAACACATCAAGAATACTTGGGGATTTTTATCTTACTGCTCCCTCCTGTGATCTTCAGAATTACTATTCAGAAGTAACTAAAAGTCACATTATATAGCTTCCTGGATGTATTCATGCTTCTTATGTTAACTGTATTTGTATTTTAAAAGGGAGATGATTTGACATTCAGAAAGGTAATCGGAAACCATTAACTGAGCAGATGCAAAACAATACGGACTGACATTAATACCTATTGCTAGACAGGTAAAAGGACAAAGAAAGCAGGTGCAAACTGCCTCATTGCATGGATTTTGTGGAAGCCTCTGGTTAACACTTCTCGGCCAAGGGATCCAAAAAAGAGTGGGGGGGGAAAAAAAAGGATAAAAATATGGCAATTACCTAGGAAAGGGACTGACATGCTGAGTCTTCAGAGCCCATTTCCAGGATACTGGAAGGAAAGTTCTGAAATGTTTAGGAATGATAGGATCATCATTTCAAAGGATAAGTTTTGGGTACTTTACCCTTAAAATAATCTTTCTGACAGAAGTACAAAGTGTTCAGAAAATAACATCTAGAACAGACTGCATTGCTCTGGGACTCCTTTGCTTTTTGAAAGCTTTGACAGGAGTACAAATTGTCCTCTCTTCACTGCGGCCAGTACCTCAACTGTGCACCAGAAAGTGTGATGGGAATATCTGAACCCCAGACTTGCAATGACCCTTACTTAAAACACTGAAACTTTTTTAAACCTGTTTTTAATTTTTTTTTTATTTCTAGGTAAGGTCACACAGGTGTATCTGTAGCTCCAAGCTAATGAATGAAACATGGCAGCTCCATTTTCTTTCTTTCCACTGTTAAGTGCTGGATAGAGTTTGTGTAATTGCTATTACATAACTAATAAATATAAATTCAGGCCACAGAAGGGTACAGCTTCTGCACAGCTTTGTTTTCACATTAGTAAAAAGACTGTATACCACTTCTCCTCATTGTAACCCAAACTTAAGAGAAATGGGATACAATAACTTTAGAAAAGGCCTTTGAAAATTATAAGTACAAGATTTCAAATGGACTTGAGCTAACTGTTTGAAGAAGTGATTTTTTTTGATGGCAATATAACTTTGCACGCTGAATTATGATGAAAATTACCAATTCCACTGCAACACCTTTTACTGGTTGATAATAAAGTTTCATTTGATTGCTGCTGAACAACAAGGCATAAACACTTAAGAAGTACTCAGCCAGTACTGGATAACCTCACAAATCTTAAAAATCTTGGGGAGGATAAAGTCTCATATTAGAATTAGTTGCAGACTAAAAAGGCAGTTAAATATCCCTGATCCTATGTGCCAGCATATGAACTACAATACTTTGGACTGGCCAAATAGAGTTCATGTACACCAAATTCACACATCTCAAGAATCCATTCACCAGTGCAGAACATCTTGTAAAAATACAGCTCTGGCCATGACTTAGCTAACTCCCCCAGTGGGATGTATGGAGATAGCTCTGCTCTTTACAGTTCAGGAACAAAATAAAAGAATCAGAATGGATTGGATACTCTTGTTCAGAAACTACATTAAAAAAAGTCATGAGTGCATCACTCCCGCGCTTGTGAATAAAACTGTAGCTGTGAGTTGGAAATAACCCCGTGACACCAAATCTAGCAAAGCAAGTTCTCATTCTTAGACAGCTGCTCATGCTTAAGATGAGTGATAATGTCTTGCACAACATGAGTGTTAGCTTAGTTAACTAATACATATGTATGTATTATAACTTAGAAAATTATATTCCCCATTTTCAAATTTTGGTTAAACAGCTTAACGATAGCTTTTTCATTAATATTTGTGGTTAAACTGTAACTTAATGTTTCACAGGCACTTTTTCAGCTCATATTAGTAACTTGGGAATATTGTGCAACACTCAGAAAAATGTAAACATTTTTCTTTAGTTATGCCAGTTATGTATTCGTGGCATGCAGCACTCTACATATCTTTGAATAGGATTTTCTAGAAGGAACACTGGAATTCTTCTCTTGAAGTCAAGTGAGGCTGACTAAAAATGGTGGAGGAGTTATGTCTCATTGTAGATACTGTGGTCTCGGTAACAGTACAATAATAATTTTTTTATTTAACTGTCATTTAAATTCAGAGTCCTTTCTGCTCTACACTTTGAACCCAGCAAGTTTAATTCTGCAGACCTTTTTCTGACAAAGGGAGTTTTGTCTTAAGACAACCAAGGTATAGGGTAAAACATTACTCCTTGTGTTCTTACTAGAAGTAGAGAGTGGGCAAAATGACCATGGCTTTGCTCATCCAGTAAAAAGGACTAGAAGAAAAGAGTCCAGTAGAGGATCCTGTTAAAAATGGCACATACCATGTGACACCTTGTGGTCTGTACACTTGTGGACTATGGGGCAGGCTGTCATTTTATGCTCTCATACTAGAAAGCTGTTGTAAGCCTCTCCTGTTTTCACATCAACAGTTTTTGTCTGTTGTTTTGTGTTCTTGTTTGGTTTTGGTTTTGGTTTTGTTTCTCTGCTCAGGTTTAATTTTTGTTAGTTAAACTTCTCAGCTCATAATTAAGCTACTCTGAGTGTGCCATTCTTCCCCTTATTAGGGACTGGCTATGCTAGTGTGGCACTTTTATAGCAATATAGCAATACCGACAATCAGAGGAAAGCAGGAGGCAGAGAGATTACATTGACTCCAAGATATCTTTCCAATAAAAGGAATAACATTTCCTAAGTATATATAAGGCTTTAGTAGGATAACCTCTAAGCAGGTGTCATAGCGTCCAGTTGATGCAATGAAAATAAGACTCACTGTTTCCTTTAAAATATGAATGAAACAGCTCTAACTACTCTGAGTTTTATACTAAAGATCATAATTTTATATCAAAGAATATGCTTATGAAGGCAATCAGGATAGGAAGTGACATTTTTTCCAGTTTAATAATTCTGATCCACAAAAACCTGAACACATATGTAGGACTATAAAGTCGTCTTACTTTGCTAAACCAAACTGCATAGCAAAATACTGCATGACAGAGACCTTATTAGCCAGATCCTCAATGAGCTTTGCATAAGACATCTTAGTCGCCGCTAGGTGGCACAAGTTCATTTAAATTGTCATCTAAATTTTAATTTTATTTTAGTGAGTAAAGCGGCTTGAAAAA